AAGGCAATACTGTCTTAACTGATTCTGGTTCTACTTCAGTGGTTCTCAACCGGTGGGTCGGGACCCCATTTGGGGTTGAACGACCATTTCATGGGGGTCGCCAAACAAGGCTGTCCGCCATTTTTTTCCCCTTTTCTTTGGCCATGCCCCTGGTACCCGATGATGTATAAGTGGTTGGGGGTCACCACAACATGGGGAGCTGTATTATGGGGTCGCGGCATTAGAAAGGTTGAGAACCACTGTTCTACTTTATGATTAAAGGAGATAAAAACACGAGTGGATATGTGGAAATAATTTGTAATTTTCAGATTCTTCAATTTAAAAAGACATGAAATATCCCTGCCATATACAAACAGAAATATATTGTACCATGAAGTTTGATTTTATATTATCCTTTGTATGCTCTAATATTCATAGTTACAATCTTACAGCACATCCTCATAATTAGAGGTGCTAGTCAGTAAGGTCAAGAGTTTCATCCGTATGATTTATTTCAAAGATAATTAATAGTGAACAGGGAAGGTAACAGGAATATGTCAGTGGAGTTCAACAATAGAGAGGAGACTAAATAGAAAAAGGCTATATATTCTGAGTAAGGGACTGTCAGATCTATGACGTACAAAGGGTAACTGTTGATTGTAAAGAGGGCCCTGAAGTTGCTGATTTCCCATTATTATGTGATTGAGTGATTGCTGCCTGCCATGTAAGAGGAGGCTGTATATGAAAAAGAAACTACTTTGATGTTGAATTTATTAACTGCAGCAAGGTTACTAGTAGGTCTATATTGGAAGAAAGATTCTTTGCCTACTTTAGAAGAATGGATATTTAAAGTATCTAGTTTTGCAGAAATGGCAAAAATTTCTGCTTATTTAAAGGATCATACACAAGAAAGATATATTACTGTATGGGGAAGGTGGATAGATTATATTCAGAAAAAATATGGAATTAAAAAGTTTTATTTATTTTATGAATGAATATCAAATATTATAGAGAATTGTTTTATAAGTTATGGAGTTAAAGGTTAATTATGATATTTTTTTTCTTTCTCTTTTTTTTTCTTTTTTTTAATTATTATAATTTTCTTTTTCTTTTTTTTTCTTAACCCTGTATTCTGCTCTGGGAAGTGAAGGGAGGGGGGGTGGGGGTGGGAGGGAGGGTAAGGGGGGGGGGGTTCTCTATTTTAAAATTTTATTGTATTTTTATAAATGATTGTATGTTTTAAAAAAATAAAAATTTTCAGTAAGAGGAGGCTGTATAGTACAGGTTGTAGAAAGAATATAAGGCAGACATTTTTTTTCAGGGAATAAATTCAAAGAGAGGGAAAAGTAGTCTGGTGTATCTCGCTAATCCAACAAGGGAGGAAGAAGGAATAAAAACTTGTTGGCCAAATGTACTGGTTCATAAAAAATAAAAACTCCCAGAACTAGCTAGAGTCCAGGAATATGACAGAGAAAGTATCAAGATTCATCATGACTACTGATAGCTATCTCTTTCTGGTCACCTGGGGACAGGTAATATCACCAGTTGCTGCTGCAACTGTTTCACCTTGAGCTTTGAAGTTCGTGGAAAGAACCTGAACAATCTAAGACAGGGGTAGGCAACCTTGGCTCTTTTATGACTCGTGGACCAACTCCCAGAATTCCTGAGCCAGGAATTGAAGTCCACGAGTTATAAAAGAGTCCTAAAAGAGCCAAGGTTGCCTACCCCTGACCTAGGAACACCAGAAGCATTCTCTTCTTACTTATCTATGAAAGAGGAAAAAGTGAAAGAGAAATACTGCAAATGAATGACACATCATTTCTGTTGATGGTAAGATTTTATTTCTGGGAACATGGTCTGAGTTGTTTGGATCACGTACTGTTGGCACACAATGGATAGCACCCAACAAAGACTGGGATAAATGTATTTGAGCAAGATAAATTGAAATTGTATATTTATCTATATGTATTTATGACTTTCAAATTTTTATCTTAAGGGTCAGAATATGGAAAATAAACAAGATGAACTAGAACTTTAATGCAGTAAAGCAAATACAAATTAATAGATCTGAGAACTGATGAAATTATTATCATGATAGGACTACATTACTTTAAAATTTTAGGTTATTCAGAAGAATCATTTCCATACAAAATACTCATGTTCCCATCAACAGACTTCTAATGTTATACAAATATTATTTATGCTGAACACCCAAGGCAATGCTGTACTTCCTTATCTTAAACCCTGCTTAATTCCATTTATTTTCTCACCTTAACTTCCATCATATACTATTCCTATCATATTCAGAAACCAATCTTCAATTCCCTAGTCCTACAAAAATCTATATAATTCAAGGTATCTACTTTATACATGAGTTATTCATGTTTAGACAACATATCTGAAATATGCTGACCATTTTCTAAGCAGGTATTTACTTGCACTCTCAATTCATTCAGGGTTTAGTATAATTATTCTCAAACTTCATCCCTGGTTTTTGTGTTAGTATGGTTCACTGCAGCATAACAAATAATATCAGTAATCTACAAATTCCTGCATGCCTATGATGACACCCTATAGTTCTCAAATTCATTCTTCCTGACAAACATTTTTGCCCTTTATATTCAGATCCATTTTATCCTTCCCCTTTCTCTATGTTTCGCACACATGGATACTATTTTTCTTTTATTATTATTAATCATAATAGTAATGAATTAAATGTATATGCTGCCTGACTCCCAATGGCTTAGCATTTTACAATTGTTAAAAGCAGTTAAAAACAAAGAACAATCAAAACATTCAGGGGGGACATAAATCAATGGTGCAGATATTGCAACAGAGAAGACATATTTCTGGGGTCCTGACAGAAAGCACTATATAATCAATGATACCTGAAGCACACCAATCCTACCAGATTGCATCAACAAGGCAGATACGCAAGTAATCAGGCCCTATGCCATAGGGCTTTACATGTAGTGACTAGCAGGTCTGGAGGAAAACTGGCAACCAGTGCAGCTTGCAAAGCAGAGCCATTACAGGGCATACTGAGGCAGGCCCATCACTGTCCCCACAGCCGCATTCTGGACCTAATGAAGATTTCAGGTGGTCTTCAAGGGTAGCCCCATATAGAATCAAACAATTAATTGACTAGGGCATGAGTGACTGACTGAAAGTCCCCTCAGCCTAGGAAAAAGGTGCAACTGGTGCACCAGATGAAGCTGGGCAAAAACCTTCCTCACCACACCTGCCAGTTGTTCATAAAGAAGAAACTATGAGTCCAAGGAGATCCCCAAATTGCATGCCATTCTTGAACAGGGAAGTAGAACCTATCCAAGGCCTAAGCTGGAATAATCTCAGATCTGTGTAGCCCAAACACACACAGCTTAGTCTTAATAGGATGAGTTAAAGACAGTTCCACCCCATTCAAATGTGCACAGTCTCTAGGCACAGAACCCTGACAAACCTCACTTGGCCAGACTGGATTTAAAAGCCATGTTTTTATATTATCAGCATGATGACACCAAATCCCAAAACCAGTGGATAACCTCACCCAGCAGTTTCATGTAGATGTTGAAAAGGATAGAAAAGAGCAGTGTTTTTGTAAAAAAAAAAAAAGGTGCCGGAACTCACACTCATTATACAACCCGCCTTGCCTATCCTACAAAGTTCCATCCAAAAAAGGTGCCAGAACTCCGTTCTGGGCGTTCTATGACAAAAAAAGCCCTGGAAAAGAGAATAGAACTACAGAAAGAAGGGGGCTAGGGAGTAATCTTTCCCCACCAACCAACATTGATTGGAACCAGCCCCAGAGAAACGAAAAGAACCACTATAAAATGATGACCTCAATCCCCAACTCAAATGGAGCTGGCTCAAAGGGGTGTATTCCTCTTACTTTCCAAGTTTCAATCTTTCACGTGGCCTGATCATGACCAGACAAGGCAAGATAGTTTGACTCTTATTACACATTGAAATTTTAATCAACCCAAGCATTCACATATCATTTTAATTTGATAAAGAATAGATTAGGTTAAGAACCTTTGTCATATCCATGTTATATTTCAGTATACCTTGTTCATAGTAAAGGCACAATCAATTTTGACATATATTGGGGGCAATATATTATTAGTACAACTGAAGCCCAATTTTACCTCAAGTATTGCCATAATATTCTATGCAAGCCAGGATCTCTAATTAAAAGGCAGCCTTGCAATCCTATATCCTGTACCTTCATCCCATCAATTAAGAATTATAAACAAGGTTCAGGACAATGTTGTTCTTTCAAACATAATTCTAAGTCTTCAGGATTATTGATATCTTTTGCCTTTCTAGTTTCTTACAAATACTATATGGCTTTAATTGTTATATGACCCTTAGAGAATATGTACAATTGTCTCAACAGACCTGAAAATAAGCCTAAATGTTCATAGAGCTGTCTAGGCCGACAAAGCTAAAGGATACAAATTTTGATTGGAGAAAATTGCAAGGATGCTCATTTCTGTTAATCTTTGAGATCTAGAATTGCAATATCCGATATAGTCCTAAAAACAATCTCAAACTCTGAGCAAAATGTCATTGCTTACCACTGTATAGCCCCTGGCCTTTCCTACACAGTTGGATTACAATACGCCTATCAAACCAAGTCACAAGGAATCCCTTTCAAAGAAAATATCTTTATGAATTGTAATCAATCACAAGATATTTTGGGCTACAAATAATTTCATTTGCTAGCATTCCTATTTATTTATTATATGCTTAGGCTTATATACTTTACTTCATTTAGTAACATTCTGATATTTAGTAGCAATAATTAAGAGTGCAGAGATCAAGTATGTGAGACAGAAAGAAAAGAACAATATGACAAGAAGACATTTCTAACACAAGAACTTGTCCTGAATCTTGTAGATTTGCTTCTTTCTCTTTAATCAGCTTTTCTGCACTAAAGCCATGGTCCCACAATACGCTTAACTAAATCAAAGTGGTGAGGCCTAGTAAGGTATGAGAACACTAAGAAGGGATTAACTGACCCAAGTAATTCCAAGGATGCTAGGTATCCTCAAATGCTGTTGGTGAACACGGTCTCAAATGCTGTTGTTAGGATCAAATCCAGACTGAACAGATTTCCAGACTTCTCGCACATAGCCTAGATCTGTTATTGGAGTTCATTTGACCTGGAGACTCAAGGAAGCAGACCGAAGTCAGTACAGCAGAGGTGTATTCTCTTCTACAAACAATAAGGAACAAAAGAACAAAGGAAAATACATAATATGTATATATAGTATATAACAATCAAAACAAACCAATTAAAAGTTAATATATTCTATATGCTGGCTCCAGACTCCTAGCAATCTTTTCATCAAATATGATGCATTCTTAAACTTTTTATCACCTGTTTAGTCTTCTTCTGGTGCTTCCTTTCCCCACAATGATTTCCATGTCCATCTCTGCTTATAAACAAAATAGTATCTGTTGACTACAAGTTCCAAGATAGTAAGAACTTTTCTACTGTCTTGCTGGTGTTCGTTCCACTCATCCCTTGCATCATGAAAATTTATTCTTTCAAATTCATGACAGGAGGATTCTTTAATTAAGGAATAAGAAGAACAGCAAATGTGACTTCTTCCTTACTTTCATTTTCACCCTCTTGCTTTAAGGTCTACAAAGCATTGGGATTACACAGGTTTTGTAACATTAGAGACAATGTTGGAAAACTTCAGCTTTAGTGCTGGAATATTCTTCTTATATCTGGTTATCATCTATGGTCAACCCATCATCATTTCTTGACCTAAAGTAAAAATGAGGGGGAAATGGGTAATGAGAAATTTCATGATTTAGACAGGCTGAAAGCCTTCACAAGAATAGAGAAATATAACAACAAAAACAAAGCACAAATCTTCAAGCAAAGTCTACTGCAGGCCAAATGGACTTCTATTTTCTCTTGTAAAAGGAAAATTTAAGGCTGGCATCCTTATTAAAAAAAAGTCACGTTGCTACTCTTCTGCTATATTTGCAAAATAAATTCACGGTAGCTTCTCTTAAATAAAAGGCACCTTTGGAATTTCAATTTTTAAAAGGCTGCTTGGTTTTCATCTACACAGAATGTATGAATATCTATGCCTCTTTCATTCAACCTCAAAGCTATCTGAGTTATAATATCTTCTGTTGTCTTATTTTTTTAAAAAAGAAAGTATTTTCATGACAAGCATTAACTTTTGGGTTGCAATCATTTTATAGCATTGCAGCGCCAACTGATAAGATGAAATTCTATTACCCTTTCAAAACCTGTGCGGTGTCTTTCATTTTTTTTTTTTAAAAAAAAGCCCTATGCACTATAGAATAAATGCTAGCAATAATACACTTAAAATTATTGTATTTCTGAATTCCTAATATAACATTACTTTTACTTACAAGCAGCCTCTTTAATATTATATAAAATTCATATGAAAACTAGTATGACAATAAGAACATTTTTCATTTTCAATCCAACTTTAAAATTATAAAACATTATATTCCAAATGGACATGATGATAAACAATGGTCCTATTGGAATAAAAGTTTTAAGAGTGGTCATGCAACACTATAATATCAAAAAAAAGCAGATGACTGCTAAAGGTGCATAGCAGTAGGAGAAGTTCCTTATGACATGCATTGCTATAGTGGTATATTTAAGAGCAGGACTTTTGAGGGCAGGGGTCCAGATGCTTATTCAGCAGAATTAATAGGATAATCCTTGGAACAAAGTGAGGGCTGTCTTGCTAAGCTCTTTGAAGTGAAAGATACACTACCTTCTGAAGTGGGTGGGGCATATGTTCAATGAGCTATATTCAGTGGGGATAGACTTCCATAAAGGATATTATCTGAATTAGGCAACAAGTGGATCAAATGATAATTCGGCACATACCTCCTTAGCAGAGACCTATAAGATGACATGGGATACACTAACAAGAAAACATAATGAGAATTGCAAGCTAAAAGTGGCTACCTCTCCATTCTCAAGGACAGAGGGTGCCCCGAGTCTTCCCACTGTGCAATTCATTGATGGGGAAGCAATGGCCCAAGAGATGAACTGTGTTTAGAAAGCGATCAACTTTAACTGAATTCAACTCTGAAACAAAATGAAATTTGCAAGGAACATATCATTACCTCCCATGGCACCCTAAGTGTAACCACACTATTTTCCTCACATCCACAATGTCTGGACAGCAGGTGTCTCCCCCACCTTTCCTCTCTTCTATATAATACCTGCAAGCCAGACCTGCTCCTTCTACTTCCCCACAGAAACTGTCAGGATATCCGCTGTCGTCCGTAGCGCGAAGGCAAAGAAGACCGGCACACACTGACACCCAACAAGCACTTTATTATGCAAGTGAGACAAAGTCAGCACTGGGGTTAGTTTCCTCCCACCACCATATATCGGCGTGCTCCACCCTGTGGGTCCGCCCCCGGTTCCAAACCACCATCCGTTCAAAATGAATAAATGCTCCACCCTTTCCCTGTGCTTTCCCTTTCCCCGACGGAACTCCGCCCCCACTCCCCATTGTCCGTGCGCCCGATCCGCGCGTCAGTTGCCCGCCGCCAAACTTGCCCTGCCTAATGTCCTGGTTGCTAAGGGACAGCCCCCCACTCCCCTTTGCTGGGTCTGGCCGCCGGAGTGCAGTCCTCCCGCCCCCAGATGGCCCGGCCGCCGCTCTCCCTTCCGCAGACCGCAGTTGGCATTCGTGGACCTCCGGCCCTGTCGGCAACGGGCGTCCCTTGGGTTTTGCTGGCGTCTGTTGTGTAGCTTATGGAGATGTCCGCACAGTTGAAATTCGGTTGGTGCAGCCGTGGGGCGTGGCGGGGTACTGCTCAGCTGCTTCTCGAGCTGGTAGGTCGTTATCCATGCTCCCCCGTCCCTGTTCGTATGGCAAGCCTTTGGGGGCTTGACATGCGGCCCCCTCTACCACGTGTCCCCCTGGAAAGGAAAGGGAAGGGGTTGAATACACCACGTTGCATCTGTCCCGCCCTGGCTTCCCCGGGCACTTACGGTGAAACGTTCGGATTAGGTTAGGTGCGTTTATATCCTCCTCTCCCACCCAGGTTGCGTCCGACAACGGGTATCCTTTCCACCGAAGGAGGTATTGGGTCTTACCATAACGCCTACGTGAGTCTAAGACTTCCTGCACCTCATAATGAGACCCCGAGATCGGCCCTGGTGCCCCGTCAGCGTAGGGACTTTTATGTGCAGGTTTGAGCAGGCTACTATGGAACACGGGATGAACCTTGCCTAGAGAGGCGGGTAGCCGTAATTGAACCGTCACCGGGTTGACCACTTTGAGGATCTGGAAGGGGCCCACATATTTCGGGCCCAGTTTTTTGCATGACACTTGCAAGCGTAAATACTTGGTGGCTAAATATACCCAGTCTCCCACCTGGAACGGTTTGTGCTCTGCTCGTCTTTTGTCGGCTTGGAGTTTGGCAGCGGCCTCGGCCTTCCTCCGTGCTGCCTTCACCCGGTCCCACAACCCTGTGATCTGGGAGTACCATGTTTGAGGGGTCTGGCCGCTAGCTACCTCTGGTGACAGGTCGGGAATGGGGTTAAACTCCATCCCATACACTATCTTAAACGGGGTATACCCCGTACTGTTGTGGACGGTGTTATTATATGCCACTTCAGCAAACGGCAAGAGGTCCACCCAGTCCGTCTGCTGAAATGACACATAACTCCGGAGGTATCTTTCCACCATGGCATTTGCCCTTTCTGCCGCCCCGTTGGTGCTCGGGTGATACGCTGAACTCAACGCCTGCGAGGACCCTAGTGTACGAACTCCCTCCAGAACTTCGCGGTAAATTGCACCCCTCTATCCGATACAATTCTCCTGGGTATGCCATGGAGCCGGTAAATGTGTTGAATAAACAACCGTGACAACCGCCGCGCTGATGGCAGGCCCTTGCATGGGATAAAATGCGCCTGTTTGGAGAAGAGATCTATCACGGTCCATATCACGCTGTAGCCCCGGTTGTCAGGCAGTTCTACAATAAAATCCATGGCGATCTCTTCCCACGGCCGGGATGGATCAGCCACTGGTTGTAATAACCCTATGGGCTTCCCTACCTGGGGTTTGGCACTGGCGCATACGTGGCACCCTCTGACATACCGTTCCACATCTACCTTCAGTTTGGGCCACCAGAATTGTCGTCGTAACAGATGTAGGGTCTTTAAAAACCCAAAATGGCCCGCTTGTTTCACGTCATGGCATTGTCGGAGCACGGCTAGGCGTAGGCTCTCGGGCACATATATCTTATCGCCTTTCCATGCCACACCGTCCCGAGTAGTCAACCACCCTGAATGCTCATTCGCCCACGTATCCGTCAGCAGGGCAGTCCTAATGGCCTCTAGGTCACTTACCTGAGACCTGTGACTTACAGTCTTAGTGGTCTCATGCCGCGGAGGCGGCATTAGTGCCTGTATGACCTCCTCCCATTTGCTATGGTACTGCGGCATCCGCGACAATGCGTCGGCCAGAAAGTTTTTCCCTCCCGGCACATACCTCAGTGTGAACCGAAACCGGTTGAAATATTGGGCCCACCGGACATGTTTGGGGGCTAAGCGCCTCGGGGTCTGTAGCGCCTCCAAATTCTTATGGTCTGTCCACACCTCAAACGGCTGCTTGGCCCCTTCTAACAAATGCCTCCATGTTGCCAGAGCCCAGCGGATCGCGAAGGCCTCCTTCTCCCAGACGGTCCAGCTACGCTCGGCCATCGTGAATTTCCGCGAGGTATAGGCACATGGCTGCAACGCTCCTCCACTGTTCTTCTGCAACAGCACCGCCCCCACTGCCACATCGCTTGCGTCCACCTGTACCACGAATGGGGCACTCTGGTCCGGGTGGCGCAATACGGGCTCTTTGGCAAATAACGTTTTCAGTGTCTCAAATGCCTTTTGGCAACTCATAGTCCACTCTATTCGTTGGCTCGGGCGAGGTCTCGCCGCCAGGTGTCTTGTCCGCAGCAGTTCCGTGAGGGGATGCACCACGGTGGCAAATGACGGAATGAACTGGCGGTAAAAATTCGCGAAGCCGAGAAAACTTTGCAGCTGGCGTCTCGTCTGGGGCGCTTGCCATTCCTGTACTGCTTGCACCTTGCTCAGATCCATTTCCACCCCGCTCCCCGATATACGGTAGCCCAGGTAATCTAGTCGCTCCCGATGGAACTCGCACTTAGACAACTTCACATAAAGCTGTGCCTCCAGTAACTTCCGCAGCACCTGCCTCACCAGACTGACATGCTCCTCCCTTGTTGCGGTATATATTAGAATATCATCTAGGTACACGAGTACCCCGCGGTATAGGTGTTCATGCAATACCTGATTGATCAACTGCATGAACACCGCCGGGGCCCCCCGTAACCCGAACGGCATGACGCGAAACTGGAAGCTACCCAACGGACACTTAAATGCTGTTTTCCACTCGTCGCCAGCCTTAATTCGTACTCTATAGTAAGCCTCCCGTAGGTCCAATTTGGTAAATATGCGTCCCGTTCCCAAATGCGCTAACAAGTCCTTCATTAGGGGGAGGGGGTATACATGCTCGACACATACTGCGTTTAACCCTCGGAAGTCGACACATAAGCGCAACGACCCATCCTTCTTTTCCTTGAAAAGTACGGGAGCCGCTATTCGGGACCTAGCAGGCTGGATGAATCCCCGCGCCAAATTCTGGTCAATGTATCTACGGAGTTCCTGCACCTCTGGTGATGTCATAGCGTACATCCGGGGTTTCGGGAGTTTAACCCCCGGCAATAGCTCTATGGCGCAATCCGTTGACCGGTGAGGGGGCAGGTGATTACACTCCTCCTCGCTGAAGACCATTGCTAAATCCCTGTATTCCTCAGGGTACGTCACTTCCCCC